CACCCCTTTCCCCTGAGCAAGCAGGACAGATGAGGATGAAAGCTGGTAGCATGTTCTCCACGGAGGATCCCCTCGAGCACATGATGCCTCACCCTTAACTGGAAATGTTCCCGCCCCTGCCAAGGACCGTTCCTCCAGTGCCCAAGGAAGGACGGCTGTTTCCCTTGGGCGTTCCTTCCTTTTGGGAGTCTGCAAAAGATCCTTCAGTGGCCAGGATGGGAGTCTTGGTGGGACGTGGGGAAGGCTGATCTTGGATATAGCCAAAGTCAACTCTTCCTTCCCCCCCTTGCCCTTCCAATTTCATGGGTTGTCTTGAAAGATTGTCTTTGAAATACAAGCTCCGGGAAAGAGACTCGTGCCTAGGATTCATTGGCCTCTCTTAATTCATTGTCTTGCTGGAATGAGCCAGGTTCGGGGCTTTTCCAACCAAAGCTTTGATTTGTTTGGGGGTGCTCGTGGTAGAGAGAAGCCAGGCCCACAAGCGGGTGGAGGCACGGGAGATGGAGGTTTGGGGTCTGTCCCGTTCTGCTCAGGTTTTGGGGGGTGGGGTATCATGCTCGAAGCAACACTCTGGCTTTTTCCTCCCCGTTTTCACGTTTCCTTCCCACGGCGTCTTTCATTTACAGCACCTCCGTGGCAAATTTTTTTACTCCCAGCAAGCGCTTCATGCTAGCGTTTCTGAGTCCATTCCCTGAGATTTGGACATCTCATTTTAAAGTTAGTCCAAGAAAACCTTAAGCAGCTGAATGACCAGTTCAATCCTGGGTAAAACTGCCTGGTTCAACATGGAACAAAACTTGATTATTTCTTTCATTCCCGGGGAGGGGAGCGTAAACATGCCGCCCTCTTTAAGAGCTCAAACCCTCTGGTTTCTTTTAGAAAACAAAAAGTGTATATGTTTGATTTTTTTAATGGGGAAATTTCTTTGTTTAGGATCTCAAGGTTGTTTTTTTTTTTAATTTCCTTTTTTTTTTTAAAAAAAACCAATGAAATAACAGTATTTCTGTGATAGGGGCTAATACCAACTGAGGGTTTTTATTTCCTCTATGTAATGTGGTTTTCCTGCTGTGGAAAAGGTGTACAAATTAAAGAATTCATAACGAAGCAGCTTTTGCCTCTGCTCCTTTTAAATCCTTCTTTTCCTTGAAGGTGGGGAAGTGTGTGTGGGGTTTTTCCCCCTTCCTAGGCAGAAATACTATTACTGATGTTTCGGGTTATAGAAAGAAGGGAATTAGGATCTTGTCTTAGAGAGGTTGAATTCGAATTGTATGTACAGCTGCCGAGAGGAAGATCGGAAGACAGTTCTTGCCAGCGGTCCTCCAGTGGGAGCTAATGCTGGCCAGGGAATTCTGGGAGTTGAAGTCCACACATCTTCAACTTGCCAAGGTTGAGAAACACTGATCTAATATGATGCCAGTTTTC